TACAAAACACAAGGGTAATGTTGGGTTCAAAGACTTGCAAAGCCAACTTAGGGCTTGTTTGTTAGTAGCTTAATCGGACTCGCAACTTATTCTGTCAACTATACATTACTGTTTGGTAGTGGCTTAGTGATATAGAAAATGGCATATTCAGTAAGCTTCAAGGGGGAGATTTATATAGAATTAGAAAGCCAAGTTTTTTCAATACCTCCCCCTCCCAATTAAAAACCGCGCTCATTCCCTCTATAAAAAACCCCTCACAAACAAAAACCTTTCCAATCTATATAACAAATTAATCCACATCGAAAATTTTATCCATACAGGAGCCTTGTGCAACACTTTTGTCCTCAGCCAATGAACAATCTTTGGTCATGCCTCGTACTATTTTCTTATATTTTTGTGTATTTTTTGAGATACAAAGACGATATTAATGCTTTTCTTGCAAACTTTGAGCAGATGCAAGAAACTTGTGAAGGTTGCCAGATCGGATGTCTTAAAGGTCGTGAATTTGGAATGTTTGAGCTTGACCTATGATTATACACTGCACCATCATAGAAACAACCTCCTTTGCCGAAGTGCCCGATCTGGAAATTTGGTTGCGGAGACCATTTTGGGGAAGGCAACTTTTTTCTAGGATTGCCCCTATCGTCTTTCTTTCAGTATCTTGATGCACTACAACGTTTCAGTTCATCTTGTATAATTTTTGTTTTCAGGGTCTTCACGGAAACAAGGGCTAGAGGGAAGGTCTGCATACATCCTACCCTCTCTAACTCGAGGAAAAAAAAATCAATTGTCCCTATTTCTCATGTAGGGTCCCTCTTCCACCAATCATTTTAAGACATATCATTTCTTTTTGGGACGACAAAGAAGTATTTAAATTATTACGCAGTTCATCCCAAAATAAATATGCACAATAAGAATGCATACAGTTCTGGATAGGGATTGGCAATTACCCGTTATGTTTCGACCCGTTTGGTAAGGGTATGGGTAAAGAAAATTTTATCTATTTATCAATTTATCCATTACCCGAATGAGTGAGGGTGTGGATAAAGATTTTTCGTTATCATTACCCGTTGCCCATTAACATATATACCTGATTATATTATGTTAAATATTAAGATTTTTCATTATAATGCCATCACATATGCCGTATATTAATGTGTAATTTTAATTTTTTTTTTCATATTCATCGAGTAAAAGAGTTCATGATGATTAGATAAGAAACAAGACGAGGTCAGGAAAATAAATACAACAAAAATAAATGTTGTCATTAAATTTTCATTTTGCTGTTTAAGATAGGGTAATACATCATAATTATATTTAGGGTGTTTGGCATTGCTTATAAAACAATTTATTGACTTTTTCCGGTGTGATACCGGTAATAAACATTTTTTAGTGTTTGGATAAACAACTTATACCGGTAATAAGTAGTTTTTGAAGAAGTTAAACTATTCTAACTTATAATAAGTTGATAAGAACTTTTATAGAAAAACATAAGTTATTTCAAATAAGCAATCCCAAACACCCCTAACATTATGTTTTATTACATTATGAACATTAAACAAATTAGATAGAATAATTACTATATTTATGAACTTATGTTTTACTTATAGGTATGACGTTAAACAATATTATTTGTACATCAAAATGAATTTATTTACCATTTACCGTTACCTGTTCCGTTACCCGCTATTTTTATGGCTATCTTAACGGGTAGGGTATGAATATGAATAAGAATTTTATTACATGGATATTCGTTACTTGCTATTTGAAATGGATAGGGTAACGAAATAACTCTTACCTTACCCGCTGACAACCCTCGTTTTAGAAATATGTAATTATTACAATTTTAATTAACTAAATGACAATTTAAGTTTTAATAAAGGAGTATTAAATTTCTCCATCTCGTAATTAAAGGTAGAATTTGAAAGTAAATACTTATTTTAAGATAAATTAGAATAGAAATGTAGACACTTAGGGAACAACTATTATTCTTGGGATAGAGAGAATGTTTTTAATGATGAAGTGTCTTAAAATTATTGGTGGAACAAGGAGCGGACATGAAAAATAGGAATACGTGATTCTTTTCCCTGAGACCATGCATGTGGGATTAGGGATGCCAAAGACCTCGTACCGACAGGAACCGATATTCGATGGAACCCGGTTTGACCAGGGATGGGAATCCACAAACTTATAAACCGGGGATGGGGATACCCCCCGTCCCGGACCCCGAGTATTAATAATACAAGTGAAGTTGTTTTGTGGATTTTATGCACATATGTATACGAGACAAATTGTTTACAAATTACTTGTATGCACAACAAGTATAAAGATAGAAAAAAGGTATAGAGGGAGGTTTAGGGGAAAACCAAAAAACCCCCAAAAATGAAAAACGGAGGAACACCCTGGTAAAAATTCATCTGGTCAGTGCACATGTGCATACAAGTAATTTAAGTTATTTTGTGGTTTTTATGCACATGTGCATACGAGACAAATTGCTTACAAATTACTTGTATGTACACGTGCATACCGTCCAAATGAACGGTTTCCAGATCTTTCTCAGTGTTTCCTTTTTTTTGCGGCTTTCCCTTGAACCCGGCCCTATATATAAGGATATTATGTAAAAGTTAAATTGCGTAGATGGGGAGAAATCCTTGATGGGGATCCTCGTTCCCTTGGCTATAGGGTGGGGGTGGGGAATGAATTTCATTCCCTGATCGAGACGGGGATTGGATTCCTTGACCATGTTGCAATCTCTATATGGGACATACTCGGGCACGTTTGTTGTGGTGTGATTTTCTTGTGCATCATGTATCTTTTGATCTTTGGTTGATCGACTAAGCGATCTGATGCATCGTTTCTTTGCATTTGTGTGTTTATTTTGCAGGCTCTTTTAATGAGAGACATCTGGTTCTGGAATATGATTTATGATTACGATCAACCACTGCTGATTGAGAATGGGCCATCTAATGGAGTTCTTCAGCACGAAAAACTTGTGAGGTCATTTATACGTCATGCCAGCAGTGAAGAAATTGCTAAAATGCGGATCCCTTTGCTTTGCTACGTTAACACACTTACTGGAAACGATAGGGCTCGTTCATGTGGTATGCTTTGTGCCCTCACCAGTATGTGTTCCTATGAGATCTTAAGACTTTGGGTACTTAGCAACATATGTTACCCAATGAAAATGCACGAAATAATATGTCTTTCCGTGCACTCAAAAATCCCTTAGCTGAGATTACGCCACCACTAGGAGTAACTCATCGAGACCTTGTGCTTGCTTTATTCGACATAGTCTTCCCCTTCGCTCTAGTTTGAGTTTCGGATGATGGCACAAATGATAAAGATAAATATGTTCTTTTTTTGGTAGCATGTCTTTAATGCATAAGTTCTAGTAGTTATAGTGTGTTATGTTTTTAGCTGATATTATGATGGGACTTCATGGAAATGGTCGTTCTTTTCTTTGGAGGTAGAAGTCAGGTTTGCATACATTGTACCCTCGTGGACCCCACTTCCAAGTGGGATACACTAGCCTTGTTTAATTTGGACAATGGGAGAGTACGCAAGTATCCAACCGGAAGCCTAATTTGAGAGGAGGTCTAGTTAGTTTCGCCACTTTTAAAGCCTGAACCCGTCTAGTGTAGAGTCCCCATTGAATTTTCCTGGTGCAAAAGTGGGGGGTTTCCACAACAATGTCTTGGGTTCAATTCTGCCCCAGCCACCCTGCCTTACGACACCACGGATTACCGTTTGTGGACCTATATGGTGGGGGCTCTGGAAGGTAGCACAAACCCTTTTCTTCTCAAAAACCGTCTAGCGTGGAAGAATATAGAATAAAGCGTTGAATCAATCGATGCTCCATTTCTTGTTGGATTTTGCATGTTGGAAGGAAAATAAACTTCTTAAGAAGACGTCAACGCAAACAAGAAACCAAACCGTATTTCAAGAGTGGATTAAGCTTGAGAATATGAAGACATACGATAAAATACTGGAGAATATGTGGTAACGAGTGAGTCAAAGGGACCAAGAGAACATAATATTTTTTTTCTTTTCCCCCTCCTTTCCCTCGTAAAAAAAATCTCGAGAATACAACGTTTAGAATTAATTAAAAGACACGATTGTATCGGGTTGGATGGACCCTTTTTTATTTTTTTATAATTTCATAAACAACTAATCTTTTGTTCTTAATATAAAAGATATAGTAAAAATATAATAAAAGTACACTTCTCAAGTGAAAGGATCGTGTGAGAAAGAGAGTTAAGATGAGAAGAGATTTAGATACTTGATTATCTTTAATTTCAAACCTATCCATGAAATGTAATTGATACGGGAATTGATCTGGTGAATCTCTTCCTAACGTGCATGCAAGGGTGGAGATACATTCTTACATTTCTCACATTAACTCTTCTTCTCATCGGAACTCAACCCAACTTCTCATAACTTTTAAAGCATATGTGAAAATCATGGTTTTCGTCACTAATTTTTCGAAATTCCAAGGAAGGTCGTAAGATTCCAATTTCGTTATGGTTTTCTTCCCTTGCCATTAGACCTATTAAATGCCTCACATGCAGTCACGTGAAGGCAATTTGGTCATTTTACATTTACGTTTATATTTTTTTTTTGTAATGTACAAGTTTTTAAATCATACTTACAACGTGTACAACATTTCAAACCAAAAAGACTGTAAATCAAACCTCCCACCCCCCACCGACGCCCCTCCTTTTGGCAAACTAATCACAGAACGACTCTCCTTCTCCGACAAACCCTTCCGCATTCCCTCACTCTCTAAATCCTCTCTCCTTTTGGTACCATTTTCGTAACAAATCAAGACTTTGATGACGATCTTTGTAATTTCAAAAAGTTAGGGTCTTAAACCAGAGTTTTTATAAACCTCAGGGACTATTTTTGTAATTTACTCCAACTCTTTAAACGTCTTGCAAACCCTCCGTCGGATTTCTACATTTTTCTGTCCATGTCCATTGTGGAGATGTCGGCATTGGAAGTCGTTAGACTCTCTTGCTTCCATGTCCCTTTCTATGGGTTGTACGTTTCTTCGCCGCACTTTCTCCGGCGAGAAATCCATCGGAAAAGTTCCTTTCTCGCCTACAATGTTTTGAACTTTGAATCAAACTCCTAAAAGTCCTCCACTCGCTTTCCAGTTTCTGTTGGTTGATCATATCTCAATGACGTGAAGTGGAGTGCCAACAATCGATATCGACGGATGTGGATGGTAATATCTAAAGCTATGTTTTCTAACTTTCTCTATTAATTCAGTAAAATTCTTGCTGCTTTCTGCTTGGATGCAAACTAGAAGTGAATCATTGCTGTTGATGCACATAGTTTTCAGTCGATTTGTACTTTTTTTGCTGTTCTATTCTGGTTACTTGTCTGGGAGGTTTGACATTAACACTAGTTTTTGGGGAATTGTTGGATTATTTATCTAAAATTTCCTGACAAAATCGAGTAATATGGGCATAAAAGGGTTCTTGATAGCTTTGAAAAAAAGGAAATATTGCAATTTTCATGGAATATCTGGAAAGTGTGCTGAGCAGTGTTGTTCAATGTATTCAATATGATAAGGGTGTCCACCTCATCACAATTATAAGTAGTTTTATGCATTTGAGTATCTACCACTTGAAAAATGATTCTTAGCTTACCACATATATTGCCATGAGACGTTAGATTGTGCCCATGTATGCTTACAGTGCTGTAGCAGGTGGGAGATTCTCATTGGGTTTGTCCAGAAGAATTTTGTTCATGTTGTCAAATTTTGGTCAATTTTTCACTGTAGAGTTGATAAAGTTATGTGATTTCAGCTGCTCATTCCTTCTCCAGAGGATGAAGTGGGGGTATTCTGCAAACTATGGCTGTGGCGTCCTGGGAAGATGGGATACCATGTGAGTTACATATATGTGATTTTAACTTATTCTTTTTGTTTGTTTATTTCTTCTTATGTTACTTTTGTTTACCTAAACTATTTCTAGTGTTACAAACTACCGTACATTCATGACTATATGTTGGAAATCAGTCAATATACATGTAAACTGAAGCTAAATACAGGTGTGGGAATATGTATTCACTGATGGTAGTTCTAATTCACAAGATCTATGAAAGATGGGGATACGGGTATAGCAGGGATATAACATACACACTTTCAAGAGAATAGGTAGGTGTCATGCATTGCCTGGCAAGCAGTGTTAAAGGTGGGATTGTTGAGGAGTGGTCTGACCATCATCTTGTAAAGAGAAAGTAAAAGCTAATCTATTGATTAAAACTTAACATCAGATTCATAAGTTTAAATGTTTCCCATCCATCTCAACTGTATACAGCGAAAATTTTCAATTTGATGCTATCATAAGGGAATTAAATCTACTACTTCAAAAGAACATTGAACTCAATATACGAAACCATAGAAACACTGAAATTTACACAGTTTATTAAGACATACAATAGTTTTTAGTTATATAATATTTATATAGGGCAAATGCAAACACCCTTTCGAACCCCTGCGCTCCTAGGAGGCCAAAGGCCTGGATACCTCTATGCCAAAAGTTCCTTTTTGATTTCAAAGGTCAATGTTGTTTATCCTTGATCAGTCGTCAAGATAAAAGGATCCATGTTATCCGATAGCTTCAGTTTGAACGTTCATTTATGAAAGAAACCTATTATTCATGAGTTTGTAATTGCTAAAAATGTGTTATGTTAGTGCTTGCTGTAAATATTAGTGAGCGCCAATTCTTTCATTATAGAAATGCAGGGACCTATGGGAGTAATAGCGTGGAGTTATTTTGGTTAGAAACTAGGATCAAAGATTTTTGTAGTGATGAAAATGATCACAAATACTTGAGAGGTAAGGTTGGCAATCTTTTAGCTTTCACTGTGATAAGCCGGCATGGTTAAAAGGTATCGATGTTTGTCTGTTTAAAGTTCCATGAGAAGTTATTATATGTTTGTGTATTCCCATCAAGCAGTTGATCCTGCAAATTATCATGTAGCCTAGCATTTTTGGCCAGGTCCATATATCTCTCACCATCTCCCCCTTTTTGTTTGGTGCTGATTTTTCATTATTCAAAAATTATTATATTTGACTTTTTTCTTGTTGCTAAAGTCATTTGTCTAGGTTTCTTATGATATTTATTACAAGACAGCAACACTTCTATTGAATGAAAATTATGAGTAACAAAGCATGAGTCTTTGACATTACTCCGCTCCTAAAAAGTCGCCTTGCCCTCAAGGTGAATGATACAAATGCTGATTTATTATTACCAAAAGTCACTAAGCCTAGGATAATGTATGTTTATTCTAGAAGGGGCATAGAGGTAATTCHAGAGTGTGGCTAGGAGTTAGTTAGAGGAGAGAGAATAATAWATAGARGGGAGTGACGTTTTCTTTTGCATGTTATGTTATTTCTTTTCCAGTGTATTGGCTCTTAGCTCATAGCTTTGAGAGAGGGATCTTCCCTGGACAATCATTTGATTGCTTTTATCTTCTTAATGAAAATTACATCATCTTCTCCATTGAATTTCCTCTGTTCTGGTTAACTTGATTTTGCCATTCTCTATCATTGGTTCGACCTGCCATTTATCTTGTTTTCCAACCTCATTTCCAAATTTCCGATGGAAACACATTCCATTCAATCTCGTTTTGAGCAACACGAGGAAATTATTCAGCGCTTACAGTCCGATGTGGTGGAAATCAAGTCGGCAATTCAGATGTTGGAGGCTGATCGAGTTGAGTCCAGCGAATTTCGCAAAGTAATGATGGCGTGGGTGAAACAAGGAAAACATCAGATGGGGGATTCCAGTGGTTTCTCTGGCACCATCGATCCACCTTTTGGGTCTCCTGACACTGGTGAATGGTCGCTTGGTGGGTGTGCGACTCCGCCTAAAACCACCGATGGCCTTCCATGGGCTGTAAAGAAAATCAAATTGCCGGAGTTTAACGGGTTCGATCCGTAAGGATGGATTCAGAAAGCAATCCTGTATTTCGATATTAACTGTACTCCTCCTTCCTTCCGTCTTCGTTTGGCTCAATTGAGTATGGTAGGGGTTGCTCAACATTGGTTTACAATTGTTAAGCAAGTTCATGATTCTATTACCTAGGACCAATTTCAAATTGAATTGTTACAACGATTTAGCGGTTTGGAAATCCAGAATCCGTATGAACAATTGGTGACTATTAAGCAATCCTCTTCCATTTACGATTACATCGATGATTTTGAGTACTTGTTGTTCTTAGTTCCTAAATTGCCAGAGTCCCAAGCTTTGGGGTGTTTTATCGCTGGTTTACGTGATGAAGTCAAACGTTGGGTACAATTGCATCGTCCTCAGTCTAGGTTAGATGCCATGTACTTGGCTAAGGATGTGGAAGAAATGCTCCGACCCACTACTGGTAACATCTCTCAATCCCGTTTCTGTTACCAACAACAAGGTGGGCTTGGGTCTGCTTACACATGGATCGTTCTTCATTTATGGGCCGGACTGGGCCCATATCTTCCAAACCTGGTGATAGGGTTTTCCCGTCTCGTAATGACTCTAATCACATTTCTTCCCCAAATTGTCAATCGGGGTCTAGTTCTTCGGAGGTCGCACAACTTCCGCATCGTGATCGGGGAATTCGCTCCCTTACACGAACGGAATGGGAAGATCGTCGTAAGAAGGGCTTATGTTTTCGTTGTGGCCAACAGTTTGGTCCTGGTCACAAATGCCCGGAGGGAAAGTTAAGGGTGCTGCTATTAGGGGATGATGAGTATGGTGTCGATGAGGGTAATCACTTTACATTAGAAGAAGACCAACCAGAGATTGATCAACCAACTGATCATCCTGTGCTTGGGTTGTATACAACTTTGGAATTTTTTGGGGCTACCTCGGAGACATCAGGGGGTAAGACTTTGAAATTGGAAGGATCGATACGGGATATACCAGTTGTGATTTCAGTAGATAGTGGGGCAACTCACAATTTTGTTTCTCGACAACTAGTACTCTCATTGGGTCTTCCATACACGTCGTTTGGAGGTATCAACATACAATTGGGAGATGATCATAAAGTGTTTGTTACTCACCGTTGTGTTAATCTTCAAATCCTAGTAGGAGGCTGTACATTTTATGTGAATGCACTGGTGTTTGATAGTGGGCATCTAGATGTGGTTTTGGGAATAGAATGGTTGAAATCTTTGGGCGTGGTAACCCATAACTGGGATAAGTCTTGGATGCGTTTTCTGCATCAGGGTGAATCAGTTCTAATTCAAGGGTTGACTCCTCCTCAACAGCCTCCAACATCCCTTCAAACTTGGTTAGCTTTTGATGAAGCAGCTCCTCTTGTTCCCAAGTCTTCCTGTCAAATCGAGGGGGGTTGTTTCCAGGGACCTCTCTTCCATCCAAAGTCAGTTTCCGGATGCAAGTCTTGAGGACAAGACTTTTTTTGAAGGCGGGAGTAATGATACAAATGCTGATTTATTATTACCAAAAGTCACTAAGCCTAGGATAATGTATGTTTATTCTAGAAGGGGCATAGAGGTAATTCCAGAGTGTGGCTAGGAGTTAGTTAGAGGAGAGAGAATAATAAATAGAAGGGAGTGACGTTTTCTTTTGCATGTTATGTTATTTCTTTTCCAGTGTATTGGCTCTTAGCTCATAGCTTTGAGAGAGAGATCTTCCATGGACAATCATTTGATTGCTTTTATCTTCTTAATGAAAATTACATCATCTTCTCCATTGAATTTCCTATGTTCCAGTTAACTTGATTTTGCCATTCTCTATCAGTGAAGGTCCTTGATCTAGAATTGGTTTCGGGATCCCAATGTCTACATTGTATTTTCCAGTCCTTGGATCCTCTTGCATAGGCATCAGTGTGCATGCTTTGCCCAACATTAAGCTTCTCCTTGAGCCCAGAATTAAACCATCCATATGACCCAATGTTAAACCCATGAGTTGATTCAGCCCAAAATCAATTCTGCCATTAGGTCATAAGGAAACCCATCAACTTTCTTGTCGATAGTCATTGGGCATCAGATCCATTATGCTATTAGGCCTACCAATAAACTCCTTATCCTCCTTGGGCTCTATATTGGGACAGCCAATAGGCCTAGTATTTAAACCTACAGCTGCTGGCACAGATATTGTCGTAGTTGCTGCCTCAAACCACGTGCTACCCCCATTATCTCATGACCCACGGACCAGTATCTTCATCGTACCACTTGGTGCTTGCAAAGTGAATTTGCAAAGTCACCTAGAAGTCGCTTATGAAGTAGTCTTAAGTATCACCCAAAAACAAGCACGTGAAATAGACTGACAAGCCTCGATTGGAATACGTGGACCCCCACAGATTACTCTTCAAAAGACCCCTCAAGGGCTGTTTTGGGGAGTAACCTAATGAGGTTGCACAGAGTAATACCGATTTCATGATCAAACAGACAAAGAATTCCATTACATGAGCCGACAATATCGAAAGTGTAGCAGACTGGGGACTCAACCTGTGTTATTTCCTATAGCCTTGCATGAGACACAATGGCAATCAGTCTTCAGAATATAATGTTCACAAGTCTTCAGTATGACATTTTTTGCAAAAAACCAAGCATTTTGAGAGCATTTTTTGCATATTTTTTATAGATCAAAGAGTATGCGTGCAATAAAATCAAGGCTAACCATACAAGAACACCATGATTTGGAAAGTGATGTAAATCGGATGAGGGATTTGGGTGGTAGTCTTTCATAGATTTCACCAATCAACTCGTCGCATACATAATCTGACATTATATAATTCTAGATGGAACAAATCAAAAATAGGATATTATCTAAACAATTGAATGACAACTATATGAGCAGTATATATGTAAAGATTACAAGTAAATCAAAAAAATAACTCACCGGAGCACCGGAGAGAAGAAGAATAAAATGGATTACTATGAAGAAAATTTGTCAAGAAGGCATTAGACCATGACAAGAGGGATTGTCGCTGAAGAAATAGATTGCCAAAGACCTGTAGATCCTTTGATGTTTTGTCATTGGAGCATTGTATTGGGTAGTAACGCAAATCAGGTAACATAGACCATTATATATGATGTCATTCGATTTGATCACTGAGGTTTTGGAAGGATAAAGTTCAGATTAGGATCTATGGGAGTATCAATAAGTTTACAACCTTGTGGGCCTATCTCACTAAGAAGGTCAAGAATATACTTCTGTTGGTTAACAAAAACACCCTTCTTTGACATGGCATTCCTAGGTATGGAGTTTGTCTGGTCAAAGAAGGGTATCTTTGTTAACATATGAAAGTAATTCTTGATCTTCTCTATGAGACAACCTTCTATGTTGTAAAAATGTCGATACTCCCATGGATCTTGATTTAAAGTTTTATCTTGCCAAAAACCTCGACTCTCAAATCAAATGACATTATTTTTCTATGGTCTATGTTATCTGATTAAGTTACCACCAATGCAATGCTCTATTGACAAAACATCGAACGATGGACAAGATCTCTAGCAATCTATTCCTTCAGCTAATGCAATGTTTTCTTTGTCAATAGTCCTATGCCTTCTTGACAAGGTTTTCCTCTTAGTAATCCATTTTACTTTTTCTACTTTCTAGTGAGTTGTTTTTGTTAATTTACTCTTAAATCTTTACGTATAACTGCTCAAATAGTCATCACACCAAGAGAAGGCTCAACTTTGTGTTTTCAACTATGTAGATCATATTCTATTTTTCATTTGTTCCATCTAGAATTACATAATGTCTGATTATGGATGCAGTGAGTTGATTCGTGAAATCTTTAAAAGACTACCAACCAAAATTCTTCTCCGATTTACATCTTTTTCCAAATCATGGTGTTCTCGTGTGGTTGGTCCCAATTTTATTCGCCTGCATGCTCTTCGATCTTTGAAAAATATGCAAATAGTCGTGCTCCGCCACCTAGTTTTTGCAAAAAATGTCATATCAAAGACCAATATGCATTACATTTTGAAGACCGATTGCCATTGTGTCCTTGTCCCATACATGGAAATAACACTAGTTGAGTTCCCAATCTTCTATGCTTTCGATATTGTCGGCTCATCTACTGGAATTCTCTGTCTGTTTGATCATGAAATCGGTATTACTCTGTGGAGCCTCATTAAATTAAAATTACTCTCCAAGAGAAGGGAGGTTCCAACATATATAGTGGAGAAATGTTCTAGCCAATGTGGTACTCCATCAACCTCGCCTTGGAACAATCCCTTGTGATCTACAAGCTAGGAGAAGCTTGTTCCACGTCCTACAAGCTTTTAGCATGACACAAATTTTAAGGTCTATCCTAACTCTTACAAATAAGTACATTGGTCTTATGTTTATCGGAATCTCCACTATATACATCTCCAGTAACACGAAAGGGCCTTTGGCCTCCTAGGGGTCGGGTGTTCCAACCTCGTCAAAGGTGAGGAGGGTGTGTGAGTTTATTTGTTGCATTTGCCGTATATAAATATTATATACTTAAAAAAACCTCCACTAACTTGATTGTCATAAGTGCTTTCCCCAAATATCCCTTTCTCGAGGATTTGCAGGTACCTCTTGGGGACGGTTCAGCTGCAACCCAACCTCTATCACCTCGAGGGTGTGGTAAGACTTTTTCCACCAAATGCTCTATCACATATCATGTACAAACTTGCATTTCATGATGTTTGACAGGAGCATAAACTGCTGTAATTGTCATGTCCCCAACTTTGGTCTCTACATATGTTCTTTATAGTGAGATTAGAGTTTTTGCTTCTCACTCTTGGACCTTTTAGTCTATTGGTGTACTAAGAAAAAAACTATAGTTTTTGATCTTCTGCCGAAGGGGAAACTAAATTACTAGAGAGTTGGCTAAGAGTGGATGCAAACCTTTATCGTCCAAACTTATTTATGCGTTTGTGAAAAGAGATCAAGGCAAGTGTGTGGCTCTTTTAAGCTTGAACAGTGTGAGATTCTTATTGCCTGAAAAAGGTAATCACGAAAGTTAGTAACTACCCTAAACTTGATAACAAGTAGATTCTGCAGATGGAAAGAAGTGGTTGGCAACTGATAGCAAAACCAATGTCAACTTGGCATTTGAAGGTTTAACCTCAAAAATAAAATTCTAGCTCCTTCGTCAAAATGTAGACACTTTTCTACAATCGTTATATATTATATTATTGACCTAATAATCTAGTTGAATGTATCTACCTTGCCAAGGGTGGCTTCATTGAAAATATTATACACAGTTTCATTGCCGTTGTGCTCGTCACATCAGTAGTAACTTGTAGATGATCACATGTGTGGCCGTATGTGTGCCTATAGTGGCATACCCAATGGAAACTGGCCGATCTGAGATTCACATTGGTTGTTGCCATTTTCGAAATGGAATGTACATGGAATCCCCATTGTTTGCATCTTGGTTGCTTTCTTCTTTTCTACTATGAGTAACGTTTGGTATGTTCTTCACACTATAGTACAAAAATTGGTTATTTTTAGGTTTTCAAATATTTGCCCATACCTTTTTCAAAGTCAAAATGGTGTCTGTGTGTGAGAAACGCTACAGCTTACGGAAGAAAACTAGACAGTTTTGAGAGGCTCGACCGCCATTGCAGCTGCTTTATGAAGCTGTAATTAAAAAGATTGATGAACCTTCAAGATCTAAAAAAAGAAAAAAAATGAAACCGAATAATTCTTTTGCGAGTGTTAAAATACTTGAAAGTCAATGCTAAATCTTGTTTGTGTAAAGGGTGAATTTGGGGGGAGGGGGTGTCGGTTAAGCTTTTTATTTATAATTTTTGTCTCTAAGTGCTTGCTTTGTTCAGTTAAGCCATGTTTGGGAAAAATAAGCTAGCTTATTTTTTGAGCTTATTTAAAAAGCTCCCTTTGGATGGCCATAAGCTAGCTTATTTTTGGAGCTTATTAAAAAAGCTCCCTTTGGATAGCCGTAGGCTAGCTTATTGAAACACTACTTGGAGTAGTTTTTTTTTGAATTACCACTACTTGGAGTAGTTGATAAGCTAGCCTATTGAAAAACTATTTGGAGTAGCTTATAGCTTATTGAAACACTACTTTTGAAATTGGACACTTATTTTGGGACAAACTAAAATAGTAATGTAGATCCTTATTTTGGGAGGAAGGGAGTATTAATCATATATTTATTACTGTTACTTATTATTAAATATTAATTAATATTGATTGTAAATTTTATTAATTTTTTAAATTATTCATGAATATTAATTATTAACTATTTAGAGTTATTACTAAGAGTAAATTACTAATTTGGTCCCACTGCTATGTGAGTTTTTACGGAATTGGTCCCTAGACTTCATTTATTACGTAGATAACCTGGTGGTATGCACTTTTCATGGATTTGGTCCCTCACTCTTACGGCCTTTCACCATCCCCGTTAAGTCTGAGGAAAAACAGTTTTTTTGTTAGGATGAGGGACCAAATCCGTGAAAAAAGGCATACAACCAGGTTATCTACGTAATAAATAAAGTCTAAAACCAATTCTGTAAAAGTCCGCATACCACAGGGACCAAATGTGTAATATACTCTATTATTGATTATCATTATTATATTATTATTCAGTATATAAATATTTAGTCACCAAAAAAGCAAATATAACAATTTTAAAAATGTTTTTGTAAGTTCCATAAAGATTAAAGTTACATTTCTTCTGTTTCATAAATAA